GAGCGCTCACTAATGAACGAGCCTGCTGCTGAGACTGGTAACAGCAACTGAACTCAGTCTCATGACAACAGCAGTGTGTTATGACAATTCTCTGATGCACTGCAAGTCTCTCTTCAGAATTGATTTACAGCTGCACTCCGCTTGCTGCCAATTACGCACAAACATACCATATCCAGTAACTACATAAACTTATAAGTTTCATGGCTGAAACTAAATAGAAGGGCAATCGTATTTCCATGTTTCCCCTTCTAAACACTCGATGAAGGTATCATTAATATATGGTTTGGAATACAGGACATATTGCAGTGTTTCTCACAGGATTTTCTGAAACTGTGGTGGTGGACCTCAGTCACTCTAGGGGGGGTCGGGGCACATGCCCCCTCGAGACAAAATGTTGTGCATTTAAAAGTTACATTCATCTATCTGGTGCACAGTTCAAAATGAAGAGCTCCAACTAGGACTGGGCGATTTTTCCGATTTTATCGATTAATTCGAGTTTAGTGATTTGCCACGATTTCATTTTTTAGAAATCGAGGAATCACGATTTTGAATAGAAATATTACCAAAGGTTAGAATTAGACACTTTGACAATATGCCGGTGATAACAGTAAAGAGAAAAGAAGGATCCGACCGCATGTCGGCGCACGTGATTAACCGCTCATAGTGCTAGGTGCCGTTCACACAGAATGCACTCTTGTGTTGACTAGATGCAGTGGAATAGAAAAAACATGCAAGATGGGAGCGCAGTGTTTATAGAATGGAGTTTCATGCATGAGACACTGCAAGAGACACGAGCGCAACAGTCAAGCACGTCCATGTTCACACAGAAAAAACAATGGAAAAGCAGTGCGATCGAATGCAAACCTGTACCTACTACTGTATGTCTGATATGTCATGTTTGCATCATGGTGACCGACTGAAAGCTGCTGTTGTTTTTACAGAATATTAATTACCGTTAACATTTATAATTAACGTTAATAATAGTCTACTTGTGTTACACCTTCAGTCATTTAGAATTTGAATTACCTTGACGTTTAAAGCATGTTCCTCGTATTATTTCTGAACACATAATATAATGAGACAAGTTCGTACAAGACGTAGTTGTAGTTCATGCGTCTTTTCTGCAACGATATTTAACGAGTGATTTGTTTAACATTTACATCATGTTGACAACATGCGTGCTGCACTTGGAATAGAATTCAGAAGAAAAAGATACTTGAATCATGCTGTAGTTACATTTTCTAGTTGACTAGTTAAACATCGTAAAAAAAATTAAATAAAATCGGGAATCGGTCAAGCGTTCTGGAAAAACATCGAGATTTTATTTTTTTGCCAAATCGCCCAGCCCTAGCTCCACCCCATGTTCAGTGTGCAAACTCACCAAAGAAAAGTCCTGTCTTACACCTGACCTTTAACCCTTCAACCCTCTGTGTAGTTGAAGTGTAACACGCTAGATGCATGCTATATTCACTGTGAACTGAGCCGTTCTGAGACACAGAAAGCAGCGGATCACGCAGCGCTGGACTCGATGAGGGGGCCGAGGCGTGCTGCACCTGTCAGTGTACCTGTGCTGCTGCTGGAGGCGTGTGGCGGAGCGTCCAGCGGGAAACAGCTGGAGTCCGTCTGCTGGAAGCTGCTCTCCAGGTGCCTCCGCTTCTGCATGCGCTTGTACTCCTGCTTGATGTTGCTCAGGATTTGCTCTGGAGCACAGAAGTAACACATTAGTGACAAACAGGCCAGCATTTCTACGGTGGCTGATAACACGATCACAAGCTGGGCTGTTTATAGCAGTCTGTATAACGTGATTGTTACTAAACTGCCTGACACCATGGACATTGATCACACCAAATCCGATTTCAGATTCTGAAAGCCCTGTTTAGTAAGCGTTGCACAACTATTAAAGAAACTTTCAGCAGATTCCACTCTGAGTTATGTGCTAAAACGAGCTCATGACAGAGAAGTGCTTCAAAACACGTGATTATTTAAATAAACAAGTGGAGATATTATGGGCGGATGGCTTCAACAAAAGCACATACCATTGATTAACGCCCTCATGGTTGTGTGTCATCTTTAAAAATCAGTTTCTCGCGGATGGTGTTTTTACTTCCGGAAGCTCCTCACAAACACAAACACAGAACCGGATCCAGCAGCCGAACCCGAGCCCGACCTCACTTCCGGGCCATGACACACACACACACACACACACATCACAAACAGTAACTCACACCCACGATACATAAGCCTGTAAAAATGGCCTACACGTGCACCGTCAACAACCGAGCCTTAGCATACGAGCTAGCATCTAACTAGCCACCTTCCTGCTCGACTACAATCTGTAAATAACCCTCCGTTTCGACACCGCGTAACTAAGAGCGTGCCTGCGGTCCGAGAGGCAGAGCTGACCGCATATACCCGTGTGCTGTGGTGTGAGGGCAGCCGCACAGACCTGCGGTGAGCGCCGAGGACAGCCGGCCGAAGGGCGAGGGCTCCATGCGCAGGTACTTCTGCGGGGACGGGGACATGGGCGCACACCTCCTCCTCTTCGGGGACGCCGGGCTCAGCAGAGGGTCGAAATCCATTGTCCTTTTCAGAGTGGCTCCGCACGCCATTCTGTCGAAGCTGGTGTGTGATTAAAATAGGATCAGAAATAATCCGCCGAGCAGCGACAGACCCCTGCTAGTCACAGTCCCGCTCCGATCTCAAGGGAACGCGACTCGATCGCTTCGTTTTTATTTAAATCTGCGGCCAAAACCTTGGCTGAGAGAACACAAGCGCGTGTTTGCTGTGAGGAACGCAGTTGTGGAGCCGATTCTCCTCAGGAAAGCGCCGATGATGGCGGATTGAGTCTCGAGCGAGCGCTAGCCGGCTAAAACAAATATGGCGTGGAAACAAAACATTCGACGAGGCCGTTGCTCTGCGCATGCGCGGGGGCTTCCGGGCGAAGCCGGTACTTGTAGTTTTTGCGAGATTCTTCCTCGCACACGATTGCGGTCGAGACCTGATATGGCAACTACAAAACCCACAAAGCCCCGCTCGCAGTTCTCCCCAATGAAGTCGCTCATTGGTTGTTTTGGATTGTTTGTGGATTTGAAAGAAAGCCCCTAAGATCTCCTCCCATGGACTCGGAAGACTCGATCAACACGTCCAGCTCCTCTGAACTAACCCGGAGTGAAGAATCCGAGCACTCATTAAACACGAAACAACAGATGCAAACACTGATCTTTGCGTTATAATCAGTGTTGGGCAAGCTACTTCCCAAATGTAACACATTATATATTACTAGTTCCTGTCTTTTGAAAGTAATTAGTTACATTACAATATTACTGTCTCTGGATTGTAATGCGTTACACTACTTTTGAGTTACTTTCACCAAAATATCCACAGAAGTATTATAAAATGCCCAAATGAGGTTTATTGCTGCTCATTCTACACGCAGTGGAGGGTAATGTGGCGGGTCTATATAGCAATATACAATTATACAATCATATTTAGATGCCGGTATGTAGGTCTACATTAATGTTACGTTGTAGTTTAGGTTAAACACAGATAAGCAGAAACCACATTATTACATTCATAAATAACACCGGTAAATAAAGCGAAATGTTATAATGTACAAACAAGAAGAATGAAAAATATAAGTTGCAATTTGCTAAACAAGCCAAAATGAATTAGGCTAATCAGTGGCGGCGCTAGGGCGGGGCCCATCAGAAACTTGCTTAGCCCCGGCACAGCCCCCGCAAGGATTTCCTAATGATGTTCCCTTATTTTTGGTGTCACTTTCATTAACACTGAAAAATAAACATTAAAAAAATGGCCTAATATGTGGCCTATAAACGATTGATATTATGGGGGCGGGGTCAAGCAAGCGCAAACTGCGCAAGAGTTACGCCGGTGAACATCAGTAAGCTCACTAGAGAAAGTGAACGCAAAACAACTGACGGAGCTTTCTAACGCTGCATTAACGGCGCATGTTCTCTGAGACGACAAGAGACTAAACTACTTCTGATGACGGTATATATCTGTCTTAAATTATTCCCTGAATATTTCTCTTGTGGCCCGTATAGTGAAAAACATGAGAAGAAACGTATTTCGCGTTAAACAGGTTGTTTTTGAAAAACTGTGCACGAAATAAAGCTGCTCTTGATTTTCATCGATGATGTGCAGTGTTAATCATTTTAATTATAGGCCTATAATTCAACTGTATAAATTAATAGACCTGTTTAAAGAAAAACATTCTCAATGAGGAGTAGCCTAAACTAATAGCCTAAATTTTAATTATCCTCACAGTGCGGAACGGCATAGTCATATAGACCAGCTGCTCTTGATTTTCATCGATGATGTGCAGTGTTAATAATTTTAATTATAGGCCTATAATTCAACTGTATAAATTAATAGACCTGTTTAAAGAAAAACATTCTCAATGAGGAGTAGCCTAAACTAATAGCCTAAATTTTAATTATCCTCACAGTGCGGAACGGCATAGTCATATAGACTATGATTTAACAAAAACAGATTTTGTTATTTTTAGTTCAACTTAATTTGTGTTGCTTGTCTGCGCTCGTCCGCCGTATTTTCCTCTTCTCCGACAGCTCAGTGTTAGTGGCAGCAGTCCAGGTGTTTCCAGGTGTTACTCCTGCTATTTCTCCATGTGGAGAGTTTGGTGTCGCACATATTGCTAAGCATTCTTATCCTTTTCTCCGATACACTGAACATAACAGGAGTGTGTCCATCTCACAAATGTAGAATCCGTCTCTGCAGTCATCTCAAGCATCTGATTTTTTTTTAAAGTATGATCATTAGATTTCTTTCATCACACAAAACAAAGATCATTCGGTCATCATTCACATTGACACACACCTGCGTGAATGCATTTCTTCTGTGGAACACGTATACAAGATGTTTTGATGAATGTTGGTAACAGGGTTGGGGAAAGTTACTTTGAAAAGTAATGCACTGCATTACTTCCTAAAAAAAGCTAATTACGTTACTTTTGTTACTGTTTATGGAAAGTAATGCATTCCGTAACTTTTTCTCATCTTAGCCTCATTTCTCTCTCTTCAGAAACAAACAAAAGAAAGAAAAGAAACACAAATGTTATGTTTATCTAAAGCCATTTTTACTTATTAGTATGATCATCGAAGGTCAGCAGAACAAAATACTGGTTAATAAAATGGAATGAAATACATAGAGGATATGTGTGTTATTTAACATGTTTGCATCATGTCCTGAGTTTGCGTTTGATTGATTCTGAGGAACACTGAATCTGCTTTTGTGTGAGTGAGAGGAGTCACGTGTAGTCTAGATCTACAGTATCATGTTCACTCCTGATTCCTGTCACCATGAGGACAGGACAGCTGCCAGTCAGAACGTGAGAAAACGAAGTAACTGGCCTTACTTGTTTGAAAAAGTTTCCTTGTAAATTTAAAAAATAATGCATTACTTGAAATACAATACTTTTAGTCATTTCCGTGGATCCATGTGAGCTAGTGATGATCGGTTTCTTGAACGAATCGTTCTTTTGAGCCGGTGCAAGAACCGAATGAGCCACTTCAACCCACTGTCGGAAGTTCGCTGAGGATTACCGAAGACTCCACAAGACCCGAATGAGCCACTTCAACCCACTGTCGAAGTTCGCTGAGGATTACCGAAGACTCCACAAGACCCGAATGAGCCGCTTCAACCCACTGTCGAAGTTCGCTGAGGATTACCGAAGACTCCACAAGACCCGAATGAGCCACGATGGGCTAGACATTTTGAGGTAATTCCCCACTCTTTCATAATTTCCTATTTATGGCATTTATATTGGCTAGTATAAATTACTTGAGTTTTTCAAAACATAACACTATGCCACTAGATGTGACCATACAGTACTGAATGCATTTTAAAGCTGGCACACATACAAAAATTACACTTACAAAAATTAACCATGGATATATATAAAAATGACCCTCACTTAATAAGAATAACATGCTGATGCATTGTGAAACACATGAAGACTCCTAAAACTTATTGCATGATTCTTGAAGATAGATTCTTCAAAAAGTGGTACAAGAGGATTTGGTGGGTCTCTGTATTGCATTAGTTTTGAATATTTCTCATGGGGATTTAATAATTCTGTTAAATCTCTTATACTGTGCAAGCCTGAGGTGTGTACTGGAAATATGCTTATGACTTTTATTCATTTACATTTTGTTAAAACCTGTAAAAACCTTTCTGTCGAGTGATGTAAATAAAATTTACAATAGCTTATTGTGCATGCATATTATATTTAAAGTTGCTTAAGCAAAATCAAGGAGTTTATAAGATTGGTTTATTCATTCTTTATACTGTAGACATGTAGAACGTATCGGCGTTTGTGCATAATGTGTGCTGTAGGTGTGAAACTTTTAGGAATCTTATCCAAGCTAGTCAGTATTGGTCAGTCAGTCGTATCTGACATAAAAGATCCACGAATGAAACTCCATTAACTTAAGTGAATTATATGGCAATAATCAGCAATATGCTTTCACACAAATAACTTTATTTTTCAATGTTTCAATATGCGTTGAATTTTTCATTGATACAACATGGCACTGAGTTGTTAGAAAAGAAATGCGTATTGCTTGATCAGGAACTGATGAATCGGCTTTTTGAACCGGTTCAATGAGCCGATCTGTCCGAAAAGAACCGGTTCGCGGAAATGAATCGGACTTTGCATCACTAATGTGAACAGGGGTCGATTTGACAGTGTTATCTTCTTTATGCCAGATTTTTCTGTATTTATGGTTGCCACATGCACACTTTCGGTTCTAACCTACCTGCAGTTTTCAAGTCATTCTGAGCGTTGGAGCTGCGAGCCTTAGTGCTCAATTTCCATTATTACTCAGATCTGATTTTATTTTTTGTAAAGCTGTTCACATTGTTTATGTGGCCAATATCAGATTTCCAGTGTGATCAGGGGCCCATTCTTCGAGCTTCACTGAATACATCTGAGATGATCTGAAAGATGCCAGATCTTCTAATCCTGATAATTGATCTCTGGCTAATCTGCTAAATTTCTTTAGTATCTGCATCGCCACTCCCCATAATAGCTGTCAGCACTCAAATCAATGCATGACTCAGATTAACTGTATAGCATGTGTGTATGACTCTAATACAATTATAAAGTAATTATTTCATCACGAATACATTTTTCAACGAGTAAACCTGGCTGTGTCTATAGTGTTAAGCTTAAGGACCTGTTGCTATGACAGCAACTCCAGGATCAGCTTCGAAGAACCAAACTATCCAAGATCAAGCCAAATCATCAACAATCACATCCAGCTAACTGAGTCAGCCACGTACGAGGAACGGGCCCCTGGGGGATATTCCAGAAAGAAGATTATGTGGCATACCTGGGTATGTTTGAGGATAAGCGAGTGGATAACCTCAGCTTTCGGTTCCAAAATCAGAAGTAACTTTCAGGGCATGTAAGTAACCATAGCAACTTGCTCTCTGAAGATAACCTGCTCCGGAGCAGCTTCTGTTCCAGGGTTAGTTCACTTCAGTGCACGCCTGAGCTACTGACGAGCCTTCAGTGGGCCTGACAGATAGTGCACATTATATAATATTACTATATACTTATGTAATATAGCCTACTATATATATATACTTATATGTATAAATTATAAAACACTATTATGACTAGGTCATATTTAATTTATTATATTATATGAAGTTATGTTATTGCAAAAACAGATAACTCTGATAAAATTGTCAAAAATCATGTTTTTATTGTGTTTTAATGTGTTAGTTAGCTGTTATCTTAAAGTTATTTTTTAACCTAGTCAAAATAACCCAACTGCAGTTTGATTGAGATTAACTGGAATGAAAAAACACGATTTCTGAGAATTGTTAAAAACGGAGTTATCTGCTTTTGCAAATGAACTCTTCATATTTATTTATTACATTTTATATTATCATCTCACACATGGATCGGCATTTTCTGTAATGCATTTCTATAATAAAAAAATACATATCTGATATGACTTAATATATAATTATCATCCAACAAACAATATAATTAATATTCTTGAGGATTAAAGATTAAACGGGAAAAAAATAAAAATGATTGCACAACCATCAATTAGGTGACGATATGCACTAAGCATGTAAACGACCACTGAATAAAAGAA